TAAAAAAATATAAATAAATAAATAAATAAAAAGAATATATAAGATAGAATAAAATATAAAACAAAAGTTTTGAGTAATCATATGACATTATAACCTTATATGAATTTATTTTGCTTTTTAGTATATTTCTTAGATTTAGTAAAATATTTGGCAGTGTGGGTAAAATGGGTTATTATGGGGATTAATTTCCAAATCTATATTCTATTGCTTATTACATTTACAAAGACAAATTCTAAGAACATTTGCTGCAAGAAAAAAAAGAAAGAAAGAAAAAAAAACTCAACTTGAATTTTCACACATTTGAAATTTCAAGTTTTTATTTTTGGTATGAATTGAATATACACAATTTGTTGCATGAAAAATTACAATGTAAAATATATATGCTGTGAAAATTATATACAGAGACTATGGGTTTTGTTTCCTAGCTACCCAGGTCTAAATAATCACACAACGACTATATTAATTACACCATTGCTTGGCCAATGACTCAGTTTTATTCCTTGTAAGTTCTAATATCCTTAATTAACCCATTTCTATTATTTTATATTTTACCATGAGGCTTTTGGTTTATAACCTGTTGCTTCTGGGGCAGCTACATGGTGTCTACCTCCTCCGGTAGCTATATGGCATCCCCTTGACTCTGCCTACTTAGACTCCATATCTCTTGAAGACTGGATATATTCTGCCCTACCATAGGCCAAAGCAGCTTTATTAATTAACCAATAAGAGCAGCATATATACTGAAGGACAACCCACATCATTTCCCATTTTCTGTCTAAATAAAAAAGTAAGGTTTTAACTTTAACAGAGTAGAATTATATACAACAAAATAGGTACCAAGCAAGAAATACATTTATAGTAATTAGTCTATTTGTATCTGGAAAGTTTCATATCTATTTTATCTTTTATTATAACCAAGGAAAACTGTGACTATTACTGTCTCTCTTCAACTCTTCAAAAACCCCAGAAGGGTATAAAATTATCTAACTAAACTGGAAGTACAGTGTAAGCAAATTCCAAAGTTCTAGAAATGACAGAGATATCTTACTGCCTGGATAGTAACTCAAAGTTCTTCTGTAATCTCAGGGCATCCATCTTCAACTTACAGTACCATAGTATTTGGCAGACTTTCCGTGAAGCTGGAGATATGATGACCTGTCCTACAATGTAATGGCAAAGCCTTTATTTTGTGTTCTGCAAAATGTCTGGCAGTTTCTTCTGTAAAGCAAGATCCCCAAAAGACCATTCTATCTTTTAGAAAATTCAGCAGTCTCTCTTCTGTGGGTACTGCATGTCCATTTTTACACTGTAACATAAAGCAATCCAGACAAGAGAAGTTTCTTGCTCAAATGACTAACCTTGTCACATTAAAGTCAAATTCTATAATGAGTATCTTCAATGACCATGTACCTCTGAAGTAATTGGTGCTGCCAGATGAAGATATGTCTTACTGTCAAGAAAAACTAAGTTCTTAAAACATTTTAAATGCCATATTCTGTAGGTTTTTGAAGTGCTGAAGATTATCTATCTGACTGAAATATATCTCTGTATACCTAGAAAATTAACATGACTCTAATTTTGATTATAAATGACTATTTCTTAATCTGTGTTTCTTAATTATAAATTATACTTTTGAATGAGCTGTACAAACACAATAACTTAAACAAGAGGAGAAATGCATATGTACAGTATAACAAAATTGACTTTAAATTTGTATCAATATACCAAGATCTATACCAAAGCCAAGTATTCAACTCTATATCATATCCTCCTTATTTTTTTTAAAATGATTGTGACCATTAATTTACTTATAATTAACACCCTTTAAATGAAAACAAACATTTATAAACAATCATTTTGCTAATTTTGTAATTGTTTTCTAAAAACTGCTTCCTACTATTTGTTGAGTGACATATTTTTAGGGTTCATAGAGACCTTTCAGGGAGGAATCTTGTTCCATTAAACCACATTAGCATTGAATGAACCCACAGGTTCTCATCTTCAGTGCAAATATAAGCAGAACCTTTTCCCAAAGTAACATATCCTTAGACTTGAAGTCGAGAGACCTTTAAAATATATATGTTGCTTTAGTTTAGCAGCCCACTGATTGAAATCTTACTCTGTAGTTAGCTCATTCATAGTCAAAAATTTCAAAGAAAACACAATAATATATAAAATCCAGACTCTTTTTGTATTTTCCATCTCTACATGGCTCTAGTTTTGCTCTTTTGCTTTCTAATATTAATTTTAGTATCTTTACTCCTTTAATCTATGTCTGTTTGTAGTCTTGTCTATATTCCTTTTCCTCTCTCACACAAGCCTATATATATATATATTTTTAAACAAATTGTGACCCATTCAGATGTTTGTTTTTGTCTGAATCTGTCTTTATTGTGTATCTATAATTATTTTCTGACCAAGCACATCTTTTACAAAAAAAAAAAAAAATGTTAAGCTGCCATGACTAATACAAACTCTGAGGCCCTGCCTGTTGGTGTCACACCTCCAACATATTTCTTGCCTCTGTAAACCATTCTCACCACACCAGTACCAGGGATACAGTGGGTCTATGTCCCCATCAAGCAATTTTTAACACGCTACTCAAAGACCCTATTTATGTCCTCCATAACAATATCTCCCAAAAGAACCAGAATCATTTGTGCCTGTACAAACCAGGAAGCTGTCTTTTAAAGAAGCTGAATCTCTGCTTGCAGCCAGCAAACAGCCTATCTGGGGAAAAAAATGTGTCTACAAAGAAACTGTGCTTGGCTCACATTTTTTGAGGGGGTCTAGAAGCCCTCTTTTATTAAAAAAAAAAAAAGGCATTTTTACATCTTAAGTGGATCCTTGCTCCAGACGGTGGGCACCATTTTGAAAATGGAGATTGCTCCCACCCAGACACAAATAATCACACAGAAACTATATTAATTACAATACTTATTGACCAATGACTCAGGCATATTCCTTGCTAGCTCTAATATCTTAAATTTACCCATTTCTATCATTTTATATTTTACCATGAGGCTTGTGGTTTGCTTGAGGCTATTGCTACTTGGGCAGTCACATGATGACTACCCTTTGGGAAACTACAGGGCATCTCCTTGACTCTGCCATCTCTTGCTCTATATCTCTTCTTACCTGGCTATATTTTGCCCTACCATAGGCTAAAGCATATTTATTCATAAACCAATCAGGGAAACACATATATAGAAGGACATCCCACATTAGAAAAATATTTAGAAAATTACATCATTTATCATCAAGGTTTTTTTTTTAACTAGTAATTTTATTGATGTT